TCGTCCCCACCTTGTGGCCGCGCGGGGCACTGCGCGGAGCGGTGCGGGCACCCGCACGGGCAGCGCTGCCGTACCGGAGTGCTGACACCGCAGCGCTGCGGTGCAGTCCTGGAGTGCTGGCACGGGCAGCGGTGCAGTGCCACACCGACGTGCATGCTGCCACACGGCTCAGTGTGGGCGCAGGGCAGGAACAGGTCCAGAAAATGCCACAGGAATCACAGTAACTGCATCATGGGCAGGCAGGAGCAGCCGTGGGACACCTCCGCAGGGTGAGAGGCTGTTTCCCTGAGCCTGGTGGTGGCACTGAGGGAGAGGAGGTAAGAACAGCCTCAGGATTCCTCACTCACCTCACACCTGTTCCACTCTGCTCTCCAGAAGCTGCTATCTGAGTGCCAGGACCAGCAGTGGTGCCAGTTCTCAGTGCATAGCCAAGTCTTTGGGCCAGATCCATGCCCTGGGACACACAAGTACCTCATTGCTTCCTACAAGTGCCGGCCAGGTGAGGTGGAGCAGGGTCCCGGCAATGCTGCGCGGGCTCTTCCTGGCCTAGGCTGCTTGGAAAGGGGCAGGGAGGGGAGTGGGACTGCTCCTGTACCTTACAGCCCTGCTCCAGCCCTGCCGTTGGCAGGGCTCAGTCCCTTAGCTGAGCTAAGGGAGAGGCTGCAGGTAATTCAGGATGCATTGGGACAGTGTGGTGTCACTTCCCAGGAAACCATCGGGTCAAGACTGTGTGTGAGAATGACAAGCTTAGGCTGCAATGTCGACCAAAATCCATCCTGGCCATTTATTCTGCGAATTATGGACGATTCCTGCGGGGCAAACCGGAGTGCGATGCCCTGAACACTGGAGGACCCCATATAGGTATGTCAGAACAGTTCAAGACAGAAATGGGACTAGGAGCCATGCAGAGAGTATGGCACAAGTATTCCACTGGGCTGTGCCAGTACCCCTTGGCCTAGGCCAGCTGGTACCTGGTGGACAGGGGCAGGCACCTCTGCCCACAGGTCCATGCCTCATGTCTCTGCAGAGTGCTTGGCTCCAGATGCCCTGCGCAGGGTCTCTAAAAAGTGCCACCGCAAAGTGAACTGCACAGTGGCTGCTGACCAGGCCACCTTTGGGGACCCGTGCCTCCCTGGCATGAAGAAGCAGCTGCGAGTCTCTTACACCTGCGGTGAGAGCCTCCTGTGGAGCTGGGGCCGCGGGGGGCACTGGCAGAGCCCCTGCTGTGCCCACTCGGTGCCACAGGGCTCCCTGGGGAGGCAGGGGCTGCTGCAGAGGAGTGGGGTGGTGATGCTTGGTATGTGCTCTCCTTGCAGTGCCCAAACAGCTGCTGGAGGAGGTGGGCCCTGACACCTCGGACCCCTTCCTGCTCTCGGACTACATGCACGGTAACGTGGGGAGTGGGAGGTTACACTAATAGCAGTGTGGCACCACGTCTGTGCCCGGGTCAACCAGCCCTTCCATGGCCTGTGTGCGTCACTGGTACCAGCTCCATCCTAGCATCTCCGTCCCGTGGCTGAAGGCCACCCCTCAGTCAGTGCCTGGGGGTCTGGAGACAGGGTCTGCTGGGAGCAGGAGAGAGGTAGATCTGCAGGGGTCATCCCTGCAGGCAGTGGAGCAAGTGCAGGAAGGACCAAGTGTGGTGTGGGGAAGGACAGGCAGGGGCAAGAGGACTGGCCACAGGGAGCCGGGAGCACCTCGTGTCTCAGCTCACATCCCCTTGTCGCTGCAGGTGGCTGGTACAAAGGGCCCATGTTCTCCAGGCTCCGGGAAGACCGCATGATTTTTACTAGCTCCCTGGCAGCTTTTGCCCACCTTTGGGGTACGTGCCCTCCCCAGGTCTCACGCAGCACCCAGAGGAGTGGGACAGGCTGGGGGGTGGCTCCGGTTCCATGAAGGCCCCAGCTCAGCCCAGGGCTCAGCTCAGAGGCAGA